ATTACAAAAATTACCAAAATTAAAACAAATCCCTTATGATAACAGAGCAGCATTCTGTGAAATTTACATCAGAATCTGCTTTCAACCTTAGATATTGAGGTAAAGTCTGTTTTTGTGCCAAGTGGCCCATCAGGCAGGCCCTTAACTCCCATTTCCATAGGATGAAGGAGTATTTCTACTCCCCCCCTAGGTGGGATGCTAGTCTATCCCAAGGTTACCCCAAGTGTTAAATTCCCCAGCACCCATGTACTGGGGAGAGCAGTGCTTTCAATAAGACCTGGCACCCGCCGGAGCTCCGGCGGCTATTCTGTTGCAAGTTGCCGGGTATATTTCACCGCGCTCAAGTCGCAGTCGCCACGCTAAGTCGCAATCAAGTCGCTCTCTGGCGGGTGTTGTACCGAGGTAGCCACCTATTTCAAATCTTATTGAAAGCACTGGGAGAGTAAAGTGTCTTGCCTAAGAACACAGATATTAGATATTGGTGTTCTCTTAAAAGGCTTACTCATCTCAGTGTATGTCTGAAAGACAACAGGCCATTTTACAGTTGTGTACTTAGTTGCCAAGCCTTTGATTCAGAGTGAGGCTTAAGGTGTTGTGATAGAGACCAGTATCTAGTTAGCATGATAACAAACTGATTTACATTTCAAAAGCAGCCAGGTTTGTATCATAACAAGGTCACCTCTAGCCTCAATCCTGTTCAAAAGCTTGGCAACTAAGCACACAACTGTAAAATGGACTATTCACAATCATAGAATCCACTATTGAGATGCAATGAATATATGAAGTTCATATATTTTGAACTGCGGTATTAGATATGTATGATGTGCGATCTTTGCAGTAGATAGCGCTATTTATCATACGTAAGAATCCACTATTGTTTGTCTGAACATGTTGCATCCCCTGATCTGACTAACACTGTGCAATTAGAATGCTGGAGAAACTTTTACTTACTTAAGTTCTGACATAAGAAGTTTTCAACACTTACCCACAATAGCATCAATGTCTGTAAAGTTTGCCTTTATGTGCTCAGTTAAGATGTCAGTAACTGTTCTTAGTGCATTGCAATCATATAAAACAGGGCAGATGTCCCTACAGGGAAAAAACATTCACGTTTAAATTTTGTTGTGACTTTCGTAAGATTCCGCAGTTTCATACTTCATTATGCATTCAGTTCCTCGATGGAGAAAACAAAACAGAAAACTTACTGCAACCGCAGATTGCATTTGAGACTACAGCTTTGTTTTGGATTAGTATGGTGTTTTTTGGAAATGTTTCCGTGATTTTTTCATGGGCGGAAAATCCCCATCTCCATGTTACACCAGGAGATCGAATGATGAAAAATGTGTGTGCGTTACTTTCAATTTAGTGAAAATTTTGACCGGCTCATCCACAAGTAGCCCAAGCTCTGTCACAGGCTCTTTCACAGTGAATAATTAAAGAGTTTGTATAGTGGTTTAGTTGGACTTGCTTTTGAGCTCAGTAAATGTAAAATCGTGTGAAATGATCAAAGAAATAAAGTCTTACCTTCGTAGAGAGTGGTCTGTGTTGTTCTCCTTGCGATTTGAGGCCGTTTTGATGTGTTTTAGCTTGACGCCCTAAATTGCCATGCATAAAATACGGGAAAGTCGGAAACTTCTGTTGAGACATGCTTGCCAAAATCGCTCGAAAACAACACTTAAATACTTTCCCTCAAATCAAAACTCAGCAGCACGAAAGCCAAATAGTTGCCCTTTAAGTTCACCGAAAAAAATCCCACAAAAGTCGGTTCGTCGAGCAACCAATCCAGCGAGAATTTCACATTAACAGCCGTTCGGAATTCTTCTAATGCATGGAAGGAACTTGTTGTGCAGCTGAGAGCCCGTTAATGCGCAGTCAACCTGGAACCTAGTCAAATCTCTGTGAACGGGTCCTTCCCATAGTCTTCTAACACCAACTCCTCAAACATACTAAGGTACCCCGGGTAAACTCATCGACTTGACTAGATCGTTGATACCGTCCATCTTCACTGTTTTCAATGGATTTTTACTAATATCCTCTTACCCGGGGTACCTTGGTATGTGTGAAGAGTTGGTGTTGGAAGACTATGGGGAGGACCCATTGAGAGAGATTTGACTACGGTCCACATCACGACCACATCAGCTTTTGCTGAATTTTTTTATCGTGTTCAAATAAATGCTGTTGTTGTTGTTGTTGTTGTCCAGGTTGACGCGCATTAACAGTCTCTCAGCTGCACAACAAGTTCCTTCCATGCATTAGAAGAATTCCGAACGACCGTTAATTTGAAATTCTCACTGGATTGGTTGCTTGACAAACCGACTTTTGTGGGATTTTTTTTGGTGAACTTAAAGGGAGACTATTTGGCTTTCGTGCTGCCGAGTTTTGATTTGAGGGAAAGTATTAAGTGTTGTTTTCGAGCGATTTTGGCAAGTATGTGTCAACAGAAGTTTCTGACCTTCCCGTATTTTATGCACGGTAATTTTGGGCGTCAAGCTAAAACACATCAAAACGGTCTCAAATCGCAAGGAGAACAACACAGACTACTCTCTATGAAGGTAAGACTTTATTTCTTTGATTAATTCACACAACTTTACATTTACTGAGCTCAAAAGCAAGTCCAATTAAACCACTATACAAACTCTTTAATTATTCACTGAGAAAGAGCCTGTGAGAGAGCTTGGGTCACCTGTGGCTCATCTGGAACTGGTTGGACACAATCGAAAGAAAGTTTACAATGTATATGAGAACGATCCTTCGCAGTAAAGCACTATTTGAGCAATAGTGGAAATCAGACCTGAAAAAAATTTCAGGCCTGTACGGGAGTCGAACCACTGACCTCTGCGATACTAGTGCAGCGCTCTACCAATTGAGCTAACAAGCCAACTGGGAGCAGGCCATCAAATTAATTCGATATAAACCCGTAGATGATAAATCAAACAACAACAAACATATGAAACATATGAGTGAACTGCGGTTATGAGACGTATATAAGAACGATCCTTCGCAGTAAAGCACTATTTGAGCAATAGTGGAAATCAGACCTGAAAAAAATTTCAGGCCTGTACGGGATTCGAACCACTGACCTCTGCGATACTAGTGCAGCGCTCTACCAATTGAGCTAACAAGCCAACTGGGAGCAGGCCATCAAATTAATTCGATATAAACCCGTAGATGATAAATCTAACAACAACAAACATATGAAACATATGAGTGAACTGCGGTTATGAGACGTATATAAGAACGATCCTTCGCAGTAAAGCACTATTTGAGCAATAGTGGAAATCAGACCTGAAAAAAATTTCAGGCCTGTACGGGATTCGAACCACTGACCTCTGCGATACTAGTGCAGCGCTCTACCAATTGAGCCAAAAAAGTTTACAATGTTGTTTCGAGATTGACAGTTTTAAGTTTACTAGAGTAGCCAATTCATCATCTTATGCAAGAATTTCGCCTCGTGGACAACCACACCAACGAAACGAAACAAAACGTAGAAGTATCCTTCAAAATTCTCCATAATTAGTCACATTTCACGGGATGCAGGTGCTGTTTGCCGCATGAGTGATCTTCTCTAAGCATATTTGCATATCTAACTTTAAGTAACAAACTTACCTAAAAATGATTCCAGGTATAGGAAAATCTGGGAAAGGTCTGATGAGTGATTTAACGTACTCTAGAGCCTTTTCCTGATCGCTGTAGTTTCCCGAACCCGCCATGCTAGAACTCACAACTCTAACTCGAATAAAGAAAGTGCCGTACACGTGGATGAGTCTTATGACTAGTTCCCAGTTTTCCCCGACTTGACAAGTTTCAAGAAATGCGGGAAAATACAATTCTTAAAAAGGTTCATATTTAGGTGGTAACGATTCCTCAGCCAGCATCAACATAATTACACTCTGTAGTAACTCCCAACTACCTCGCACAATTGAACGTCACTCACGAGCCACCAGCGTAAAATATCGAACTTTTGTGAATGAAAATGATGAGAAGTTGCGACGGCCAATCAGAAAAAAAATGCGAGTTTTCACAATGTACAACTGAAATCTACAGAAAAGCCCCTTGAGCTGCAGGGAATTTAAGAGAGTTTTGGTTTTGTCGCTGTTGGTATAACTTATCATATGACTGGCTGTACGAGTTGCGCGTTCTTTACTGCACAATCACGAAGAGAAAAACATATTATTTCAACAATCAAACTAATTCCTAAGTGTTATCTGAAAGAGCTACCCCTTCCTATTTAACCTTTTTCCATGCTGTATGAATGAAGGAAGGCAAAACTTTTGAGAGACCATCATTTTATTGAGCGATTAAATTCACATGAAAGCGGGGCTTGAAGCCTATTAAAGAAGCCCCTCATTAACTAACTCAATAACTGTCACGGTCGCACGGAGTTCCAGAAGAAATTATCTTCGTCAATATGGCTGGAAGATACATCATCTCCCAGAGACGCCATCAGCACTACTGTTACTATTTGGTTTTACCAACACTTATTCCCCGCTGGCCTGGCCTGTCCTGTCCTTAATCGTTCTACCAAGGTAATGTTTTGCCTGTATAATCCAGAAATCCTCCATTCTTCGACTCGTCTAAAGAACCGATGACGGTAATCAGCCCATCAACCGATTCCTTAATTGTCAGCGAAGCATTTGATCCTCCCATGTCTGTTTGAACCCATCCTGGATGTAACGCAACTGCCATGATTCCCTCGCCAGCCAGGTCAACGCTTAGAGACTTTGTGATCATGTTCAGTGCCGCCTTGCTCGGTCGATATGGGTACATCGTACTCCATGTGTTATTTGCTATAGAGCCAGCTCCAGATGACATATTCACAATGAAAGTCTTGGAAGAATTTTCACTGTTTCTTTGAGATACTGAACGGCGAAGAAGGGGCAGGAATGCTTTACTCAACATCAACGGAGCAACGACGTTGGTTTTATAAACTTTGATCATGCCTTCTGCAGTGACAGCATCTAGTTTACTCCTATCCATAATTCCAGCGTTGTTTATCAACAAATCCAAACCGTGATTCTTTAATTCGCTGTCCACCTCTGAAACAACTTCATCGAAGCTCTCGATGTTGTTGACGTCCAGTTGTACCATGTGAAGTTTCGTGTTGACTTCGCTAAGTGATTTCAGTTCTGAGGCCGTCTCTAGTGTTCTGTAGGTGGCAAAGATGTGTTCTGGAGAATGAGAGAGGCTTAGAAATTGTTTGACTAATTCTAATCCGATACCCCGATTGGCTCCTGTTATGAAAATAGTTTTAAACGGCCATAGGTAACTGTTGCTTTCTCCCATGATGGCTCAACACGTTGTCTTACATGAAAAACTACCCTCTCCCTTGTTTCCCTATCATCGACAGGGAGCTGGAGGGGAGATCTAGATCGTATTTTAGCATAGACAATCTTATTTAATGTTGAATTTTTGAAAATTTTAGAAAAAAAAATCGATTATTGGCGTATCTCATATGAATTTGTTACTTTTTCGCTTATTTACCATTTCCTATTTAAAACGGAACACGGACGCATATGAACACCACCCCTCTCCGAACGATTATGTTACGGGAATTAGGATCGCAAAGTATATCGGGAAGACCAAAATGGCGGTACAGGCAGCAGCTCAAAGTTACAGAAATCTGTCTTTGAATGATATTTTTGGACAAAGAAAGGGAGGATCAAGGGATGAAGAATTGACCAGGGATCTATCAGCAAACTTTTTGAATGACTGCCGATTTGCTGTTCCTCCTGGAACAGATGNGGAACCATGATCTGTGGCTGGGATAAAAGAGTGAGTTACTTGGCTGTTTGTGCATTAGTGGTGTACATTATTTTCTTTGGTTCTGCCTTTTATTTCTGTCTCTTATTTTCTATGACAACTTTACTATAAGATTTACCCTAGCTATGCCATTCATGGCTATGTGACTCTGTGAAGCAGATAATTTCATCCTGTAAAGCCTAAATTTATGTACGAATTAGGATCGCAAAGTATATCGGGAAGACCAAAATGGCGGTACAGGCAGCAGCTCAAAGTTACAGAAATCTGTCTTTGAATGATATTTTTGGACAAAGAAAGGGAGGATCAAGGGATGAAGAATTGACCAGGGATCTATCAGCAAACTTTTTGAATGACTGCCGATTTGCTGTTCCTCCTGGAACAGATGTATGTCCATAATTTAATACTTCTTGACAAATATGCTTCGTCATCTACTCATAGACAAAGTCGCATCCCAGCTTGGATAGATTTGGTCCCTAAAAAGTACTCACTTTAGAAAAAAAATCAAACTTACTTGATTCTGAAATGGTATGCATCAATTTCAATCTCAGAGACTTTGGTTTTTTTCAGAGATATATGATTATATCGTCCATAAAAGAGCCTTTTTTTTTTCTGACATTTGTCCACGTGCCAGAGGTGCGAAATGAGAATTGAACTATTTCCAATATATAGAATAGTTGCGAGAAATTTTGATAGATGAAGTTACAAAACATGGCCCTATTAGTTTTTATAGCGCTTGATAAGTTTTTAGCCTCTAAAAGCAGCGTAGAAGAGAACACTATTGCAACTAAACGTTAGTGAAATTCCCTTTCATTTTGTCAGGGTAAGATTTTTAAGTTCAGTCAGATAACGTTTGTGCGGATAGCAATTGAGTCATGTAGAACCTGAGCAACATGTCAAACTCGTAACATACATCCAATTTTTTGATGAAAGATACAGCCTGTATTAAGTCCACTTTTATAAAAAATGCAACATGTAAATATGATTATAACAGCAGAGTTATAAAAAAATTGGACTTTGCCTCACTTGTCAATAACCTACACAGCAGTAAAAACAAATCATAATCTTCCTCCTGAAGGAAATTATTTTTCATTATTTTTAGCCTGTAGAGTTTTTGAGACCTTTTTCCAATGGAGAAAGCGATGTTAAGATCCATTTTGATCATGGTACAACTACTTTGGCCTTTAAATTCCAACATGGTGTTATCGTAGCAGTTGACTCAAGAGCAACAGCTGGATCCTACATAGGTAAGTTGCTTTTTCCATGAGTTGAATAACTCTCTCTTGAGTGAGTGTCATGCAAAATGTTATGGTACCAGCGATTTTTCATTACAATCTCCATTGCAAGTTATTTTGCTTTCAATAATTAGTCTTTCCTGGAGGAGTTGTCCTTTAGATTTGTGACATCCTCTTATTGCACTATTGTGTAGCCTCACAGACAGTGAAAAAAGTGATTGAAATCAATCCATATCTTCTTGGGACAATGGCTGGAGGTGCCGCTGACTGCTCTTTTTGGGAGAGACTTCTTGCCAAACAATGCAGGTATTAAAAATCTGTGTTTGATTGGGGTGGTTAACTGTTACACTCTTAGGAGTGACCAAAAATTAACTCGTCCTTACAACATTGATGCATTTTTAAGTGGGTAGGGAAGGAGAGGTAAGGAAAATATCAACTAAGGGAAATTCTTCAATTTAACACCAAATTCTCTGATCTGAAAACATAAGAAACATGTTTCAAACAGTTTGGAGAATCAATATTTAGATTTTGGGAGTGAAAGACTCAAAACTTCTGTAATAGTTAAAGTGATGCTTCTGTTTGCCAAACAGTGGTGAATAACCATAACATCTGCTATATGATTATAAAAGTTTATTTTTATTTTTGTCAATAGCCATGAACTTCATCATTCCATGTAAATGAAATAACCTTGATTTAGATAGTCTTATGCCCCGTTCACACTATCAAAACAATTTTTGTTAAACTAGGTTTATTGGAGTAAAAATCAACAACAGAAAACTGAAAAACTGAATTTTACATAGTGTTTATTAAATAATCACTACAAGCAAAGTGTCGCTTTAAATACTTATCGTGTATAAATAAAGATTATTGATTGATTGATTGATTGATTGATTGCATTTTCATTGTACAAGATATGAAGTCAACAAAGATCACCTCAATCAACTTCTATGAAAAAAAAAAATTTTAAACTGTGTCTAATAAAAGACCTTTAACAGGTGTTTTAGCTTTGGTGTTAATGGGTTATTAAAAGTGGCAAAATTATGTTGAAATAGCCCAAGTCTCTAAAAATCCAATTCAAAGAGCAAACTTGTAAATTTAATCAAGATTATTAAAAACTAGATCATTGGATAATGCAAGTCAAGACCTTTTATTGGTTTAGCCATTATGGTATATCAGCCAATATACCATAATCTACAAATATGGTAAGCGTATGTGTCAGCTTAAAACTAAAAGGGAGCTAAAAATGTTTTAATAAAATTTAATAATTTAATTTAATGTTTTTAATAAAACAATTATTCCACTCGCGCTTGTTGGATATGAGATGATTATAGCCAACTCGGCGCTATGCGCCTTGTTGGCTATCTATCATCTCATATCCAATGCGCACTCGTGGTATATTTGTTAAATAGACTCAAGAATACAAGAAGCTTTGAGAATAGTTTTGTTTAAAAGTGGCCTGGGAGTAAATTTTGAGCAAATGATTTTATCATGAAACTGAAGTATGATATTTTGATTTACACCAACTATGCAGGATTTATGAGTTGCGCAATAAAGAGAGAATATCAGTGGCAGCTGCCTCTAAGCTTCTTGCGAACATGGTGTACAATTACAAAGGCATGGGCCTCTCCATGGTGAGTATTAGCCAACCTGCAATGGTCAGCTGAATCATTGGCCCAAATAAGTTGACTGGCAAATCTTAACTTCTAACAAGTACATAGAAGAAGTAAACTGTAATCGATCTTTTATCACCATTCCATGGTTTACACCAGTACAACTTCCGGTATATCCAAAGCACCTGTATATTCCAGCTGAAAAAGGTTGCAACTAGCTAAAAGTCATGGTCCTTTGACTAACAAGCAAAGCTCGATAAAAATCATTTGCACACTTAAAAAAAATAAGATAGATAGTTACATAGTTCACTTTCATGTCTGCATTGTTTCTTGAGAACCTTTTTTATGTAATCGTTATTTTGTAGGGAACCATGATCTGTGGCTGGGATAAAAGAGTGAGTTACTTGGCTGTTTGTGCATTAGTGGTGTACATTATTTTCTTTGGTTCTCCCTTTTATTTCTGTCTCTTATTTTCTATGACAACTTTACTATAAGATTTACCCTAGCTATGCCATTCATGGCTATGTGACTCTGTGAAGCAGATAATTTCATCCTGTAAAGCCTCAATTTATGTACAGGAAGCTGTCTCAATTTTTTCAAAGACATGGACAAAAACCTATTCAAGTTTTACTGTGACCATGGACAGAAATAGGAAACCTAGACCATTTGAAGAACTGGGCAGATTGCAGGATTAATTACTATGCTCACTGGGAAAAAGGAATAAACATTTTCCTTAATTATCTTAGGGGCCAGGTCTGTACTATGTTGATAGTGATGGCACTCGCCTGTCCAATGACATGTTCTCTGTTGGCTCTGGCTCCACCTATGCTTATGGTGTATTGGACAGTGGCTATAAGTACGACTTGAGTGTTGAAGAAGCTTATGACCTGGGTCAGAGAGCCATTTACCATGCCACTCACAGAGATGCATACAGTGGAGGAGTGGTGAACTGTGAGTATACACAGGAGAATGTGTTGATTTCAAAACATCAGTTGAAAACTCTCTATACAAAATACAGCAACTGGGGAATTTAAAGCACTGACCTGGAATGCCATTACCTTTGGCATGCTTTCACTCTCCCTTTTACCCAACTCCTTGAAACAACAAAAAAATACTCCTATTAAACTAGTTGTTCATTATGGCATTGCTAACAAAATATTGAGGGAAAAATTCTCCTTGACCCACTTGTTCCCCCCCCTGCCATTAAAAAAGTTTCCTCCCAGGGATAGCACGCCTTGGAACATGGGAATAGTAAGAAATGTTTGTATCTAGGGCATTTGGACTAATTTTTGTATAATAAGCAAATGGGGCTGTCCACATGACTTCCAAATTTCAATAGTAATAATAGACGTGAAAACATTATGTGCTTCTTCTTGGCTAAAAATAAGTGCATTTTCAGGTAACATAAGTGCAAAGTTGTAACACGAGTTCAAATAGCAGGCTAATTTAATTCATGTCAACTGTCTTTTTCTTTTCCTTTTTCAACAGTGTACCATATGAGACAGAATGGATGGATCAAGGTTTCTCAAACAGATGTGGCCAAACTTCATTACCAATACCAAGAAGAAAAGCAGAAATAGGAAGAAAATTTGTTACTTGATAACTTTACATGTGCCAAATGATTTCATCAATAAAATTGTGTTGCCCTCTTTAAAGTATCAGACTCTGCCTATTGTATGTGTTCTTTTATTAAAGTTACCTCATTTGTCAGACACA